TTTTAAGGGACCATAAATCACAAAAATAATAATGAAAATTGAATCTCTTAATGAAAAAGCAAGGAGTCTTATTAAATATAACAATGACTACTTGTTCTAATATATTTGTTTGCAATATATACAACTTAAATAACTTTTATAGTATATTATTAATTTTAAATTATATATTTAATAATGCAATATCTATGTAAATATTACATATATTATTTTGTGATATTAATTGCAAGCATATTATATATGTACATATTATTTATATTTTTAATTTGTATTAATATACAATTTAACATGTAATTTTTTTATGTATTTTTTTACACAAAATAAAAATAAAGATAATTTTAAATAAGATGGAAATTAAATTTTAAAATAGTATATGAATTTATTAAAATTTATAAGTATAAAATATATTTAACATGAATATTTTTTTAAAAAAAATTAATAAAAATTGGATTATAGTGACCCACCAATTCAACCTTTTTGGCCTACTAATCCAGTACCCTAACCGATTTGATAACCAGTTTAATTTTTAAAGAGTTAATCATCTATACACTGCCGATGTAAAGTTTTTTACATTGACAACCAATCAAATATTTTAAATTATTTTATTTTTTTTTATATTTCATTAAATAAACAATTGATATGACACTATTAAAAGATATAATTAGTTGTCGGTGTAAAAAACTTTACATTAATAATGTATAAGTAATTAACTCATTTTTAAAACTATATTCAAAGAAGTATTCAACAATGGAAAACAATCAATCACGTTAAATTAAAAGGAGCTAAGTTGTACCACTCAACCTTATTCCCTCCTGATAAAGATCAAGAAAGGGCTGTTTGGTAGTAACAAATTTCAAATTCTTCCTTCAATATTATACAAGCAGGAGCCGCAGAAAGTGATGTTATTATTCTCCAAACTAATTTCAGCACCTTCCATTCATTAATGAATACTTTTTTTTCCATAACAAGTGTGGTCACACAGTCACGCAGATTACAAAGAAATATGAGAACATGAGATTGTGTGAAGAAAATTCAAGTCATCAATTGTTACTAGTACAAAAGTACACGAAGACAAAAGCCAAAAACAGTGACTTGAAGATGATGGATATGGGAATCCCGTATTTACCTTTGGCAAACAACCCTTTAAAATATGGCCAGTAACACAGCACCACATACGTACTAGCCATGAACTCCCCTAGTCCACAGCCATTCGTATTATGAGATAAAGGTTGATACAACCCCCAAAACCTGATCAACATGGCTATCAAATGAACCACCAAAATGGTAGTGCCTACCACAAAAACTTGGGACTCTCCGAACGTGAACCTTCCAGCATCTGCACGATTTCCATCACCACTAGAACTTGGGTGTTCCTTCTCCGTTATTTCAAAATCAGTTTCAGATAACCCGGATATCTTAAGCAAACCACTCAAAAATCCAAGAAATGATGCGGTCGTGGTTCTAATCATGCACATTCTCTGATTGTTCCACCAATGTCGTATTGACAACCCAATTGCAAGGTACTCCACTAGAGTATCTACATTGTAAATCACAAAAAGGGCAATCGAAATCCAAAGGCCAGGTCCCTGGATCAAAAACAAATTAGTTAATCATCCTTTGTATTGTCTAGCACATAATTAATATTGCAACTAAAATTGGATATAATCTAACCTTAGGAAAGATATTGGTGTTGGTAATGATGCAATATGCAATTAGAGCAACATAGGAAACTAGGAAGGGACCACGCAAGCCCATGGCGTTAAGCCAAATATAAGACAAGCCTGCTCTGAATTGGATCTTACCAAAGAGCATGCCCATAATTGGAGAATGCTTTCCAAAGATGACTACAGTGTGGCCAGAGAACCACCTCTTGTGTTGTATCATTGTAGAGAGTAACCCTCCAGGAGTGCATCCTGTGAAGGCAATTGGATGAGGGGTGCAACACTCTGATCTCCAACCTCTTCTTTGAATATTCAATCCGGTTGGTACATCTTCTGCCACTGATCCATACAACCACCCCATCTAGAAATTCCTCAAAGTTTATTAACAAAATTGTACTTTTTTAAAAATGGTTAGTTTTGTTTGATAAACTAATTTGTTTCAGTTGCGCACCTGTTTACCCCAGCAAGTGCCATGTTCATATCCACAATTAGCCACTTGGGTTGCTGCCTCAATTAAGTTGGAAGGAGTAATATCATTAGCAGAATGTGCACTGTCTTCCAAAGCACTAACTGCTGATTTGGCAAACTCCTTTGAACTTCCAAATTGTTGCATTAATATATTTTCTACTAATCTTTCTGAGTACAAAATAATAAACGTGATCTCGGGTATACTATCAATCAACAACTAATGTCTAATACAATATATATCCGAACGTTGAACCACTAAAAGTATATAATCAATTGAATTTTATTTTCGTATGGTTTAAAGATATATTTTTATTATATATTTATGAAGTATTAAATAATTTTGGATTAACATAAGTTTAAATCTGATTCATATAATAAAAGAGTAAACAGTGAATGTATTAGTCATGTGTAGAACTTTTATATTGATAACAAATTACTAGTTGTTAATAATGATAAATTTGTTGAATTTAATTGTAAACACTTTATAAATTGTACTGCCATAATTTCGGATTAACTAACATTAACCATAGAAATAAAAATTAAAGTCATAATAAAAACTTGATTTGAGATATAATAATAAATAGGAAATTCTGTGTATACATTGGATCAAGAGAAAGACCTTTTATCCCACTTCCGAATTCTTCAGGATAAAGACCATAAATAGTTTTTCTTCTATGAACGGTGTTTGTTCCCACATATAAAGGTCCTTGAAGTCCTGCCATGCCCCGGATTATGTACTGCATTAGACAAAACAATTAAGAAAATACTTACAAAGCTAAGCTCCTACTTCAGAAATTTATCTACTGAACTCTGAAGAGTAATTTAAAGTTGAGAAACACCTCAAATGCAGCCACCCACTGATTTCCGAAAGGGTCATCTTTTATTCCATCGTAGAATTGTTGGAAACATTGAACGAAAGCAACTTCTTTTCCACTCTTTGAATCCAGCAAAATGCACATGGCATGTAGAGCAATTTTTGGATTGTTCACAAACATGTCACAGTCTACATTCAACAGAAAAGGAGCATTGCTCATCAACCCGGAAACCCTTGTCTGCACATATTAATTATTAAGAAAGATTAGGAATATGGATCTGTAAGTCATTAATTAAAATTAAATTCAGGGTTCAATCATTAACTTGAAAGAATACGAGAATCAAAATTCCATAAACTATTTATTAGTTAGCAAACTTACCAACACATTCATTGCTCCAGCTTTGTAATTATGAGGATACTGTGGCCTCTTCTCTCTAGATATGTATATCAGATGAGGCAACCCATCCAAAAGACCATCAATATTTTCCGATATAACCTGCACACATGTATTGTAAATAACTATGGCATGTTAATATTTTGGTTGATATATGAACATAATAAGAGGTTCATATAAAAATTTATTAATAATTTAATTGTTTATAGTTTTGGAAGTAAGAAATGAATATAATTTGTGAACCTATTTATCGATACTAAATTCCATATAAGGTTGAATTTGTTAAATAAAAACATACAAGGTTGAATTTTTTTTTACTAGTATATTAATGTGTTACCTTGATTATGGTTGGATGATTTCTTTGCTCTGTATTTCTGAAAACTGCAAATTCTCCATCAAGTTGAAATGGATTTTTTTTTCGTGTTACCTCTACAATTTTGTGGCTAAGATTGTCATACATATCCTGCAAAATACAAAAGGTAAATCCTTTTATAGTTCATGACTTCATGGTGAGAGTATTTGGAAGTTTGTACATACATGGTAATTTCCTCTGCCTTCCTATTTGGTGCTTATCTAGTTAATTTGGTTGTTGTGCTTACCTTCATTCGTAACCATTCTTGTTTGAATTCAAGTGAGTCTTCACTTGTGTCAGTGGCAACCTGAGAGAAGTATCTGAAGGGTGCTCTCACTTGTACGTTGTGCTTCTTACAGAAAGGTACCCAAAGCTTAGCGAATTTGGAGGCTTCAACAAGTGCGTAGAAAGTAAGAGGGGAACATCCATCATCAGAAACATAGCAAGCTAACTTGTTAGAAGGATAATCAAGAGCTAACAAAGATAAGACAGTGTTGACTGTGATGATGGGTGGTTCAAGTATAGCATCTGCTGTTGTCACAAACAAATCGATGGGTGGAAGTTCAGGTACCCTATTGAAATAAACAAAAATAAGCACGTGTATAATCACTTGATATGCCACGAACAAAAGAAAGAATAAGCATTTATGAATAACTTTATGTTGTTACATACCTTTGCAAGAGCCTTTCTGGGTGGGTTATGGTTAGTGCAGGACTCCACTTGGCGTTGAGAATCACAATCCAAGTGAAGGTGAACCATGATTCACAAATGAAAGCAAGGAGCCATGGGAAAGTGAAGGTGTTGGGTGAGAAAAGACGGTAACTAAGAAGCAAGAGGAGTAATAGTAAAATGAAGATGTCTATTACTCTTTGAAATCTGCGCTTTAGCCAAACTTTTTCATAGAGAGGAAGATCATATTCTTGGTTGGCCATTAGCCAAATGGTAAGAGACTAGAACAGTTGCACTTTCATTATTTGTTGACAAGGATTTGAGATTCCTGGGAATAGTGATAAACTATTTGCAGAGAGAGATCTCAAAAGTTTATTTGCTGTGCAAATGTGGTGTTGAGAGGATATGTACTACATTAGACTCGTCACTGATTCAGCAGTGGACAATTATAAATGGCTAATACAAAGTTTTCAGCTGTGAAATAATTGATCATGATGTCACACATACTTTTGTTTGGGTTGAAATTAGAAACGGTGAGAAGAAAAGGGACGGAAGATTTAGAAAAAAAAAATCAGAATCTCTGTTTACTAAATAGCAAAATACAAATAATTTACCAAATATTGTTATTAAATAAAATATCTCTTTTACATATTAATAAAAATTTAGCATAGTTATTGAATTAACAATCAAAATATTTAAAATAAAAACATTAACGGAAAATAAAACATCAACTATTCAATAGTTTGATAGGTGGGATTATATTTGTGTACATAGTTAAGAATGTTAAAGATAAATTTCTCTATAAATACTTATAGAAAAAAATAAAATAAATAAACTTTTTCATAAATTTCAAATTCATCCTTCAATATTATCTAGGCAGAGGCGCTAAAAGTGATGTTAGTGTCCGAAGTAATTTTAGCACCTTCCATTCATTAATAACTAATACATAATACGGTCAAAATACAAAAAACATGAGAACATCTACAGAAAATTGAAGTTATCAAGTGATAACGTTATTTCTAGAGAAGTGCACAAAGACATATGCAAACACCACTGACTTGAAAATGGTGGATAGAGGAATCCCGTATTTTCCTCTTCCAAACAGCCCTTTCAAATATGGCTAGTAACACACCAACACATACGTACAACAGACGAATTCCCCTAGACCACACTCATTCCCACCATGAGTACGTTGCAACCCCAAAAACTTTATCAACATGGCTATCAAATGCATCACCAAAATGGTTGTGCCTACCACAAAAACTGGGGACTCATCGAATGTGAACCTTCCAGCATCAACATTGTCTCCATCAGCACCAGAAGTTTGGTGTTCCTTCTCTGTTATTTCAAACACAGTATCAGATATCTCCAATAGCTTAAGCATGCCACTCAAAAATCCAATAAACGATGCAGTCGTAGTTCTAATTATGCACATTCTCTGACCGTTCCACCAATGTCGCATTGACAACCCAATTGCAAGATACTCTACTAGAGTATGTACATTGTAAATCACAAAAAGAGCAATTGCAATCCAAATTCCAAGTCCCTGGATCAAAAACAAATTAGTTAATCATCCTTTGTATTGTCTAGCATATATATAAACATTGCCATTAACATTGGATATGATCTAACCTTAGGAAAGATATTGGTGTTGGTAATGATGCAATGTGTAAGTAGTGCAACATAACAAACTAGGAAAGGACCTCGCAAACCCAAGGTGATAAGCCACATATATGACAAGGCTTCCCTGAATTGGATCTTACCAAAGAGCATGCCCATAATTGGAGAATGCTTTCCAAATAAGACTGCAGTGTGACCCGAGAACCATCTCTTTTGTTGTATCATTGTAGAGACTAATCCTCCAGGAACACATCCTGTGAAGCCAATTGGATCTGTGATGCAACACTCTGATCTCCAACCTTTTCTATGAATATTCAACCCGGTTGGTATGTCTTCTGAGACTGATCCATACAACCACCCCATCTAAAATTCCCAAAATCGTCAAAGCTAATTAACAAAATCAAAATTTTATTTTTGTAAAAATGTTTAGTTTTGTTTGGTAAATATTGTTTCTGGTGCATACCTGTTCACCCCAGCAAGTGCCATATTCATATCCACAATCAGCAACTTGGGTTGCTGCCTCAATCAAGTTGGAATGAATATCATTAGCAAAATATGCACTCCCTTCCAAAGCATCAGCTGCTGAATTGACAAATTCCTTTGACCTTCCAAATTGTTGTATTGATATCTCTTCTACTAATTTTCCTAAGGAAGATAGATACAAAATGGTAAACATGTCTTGGTTTGGGTACTGTGAAGGAATAAGTTGAAGGAGGCCAACTATAATCCAAACATAGCTTAATTCTATTCTTGTTTCCACCAATTGAATTATAACTATATATTGTTCTGATTGTTTGTGTTACAAGTTAGTAAAAACTATATAATCAAACCTATTTTCATATCTTTTAAAACGTATTTTTTAATGTACACTAATGATATATTAAATAGTTTTAGATTAATAATACTGCATATTCCTATAAATAAATACCTTATTCATTGAGACCAATAAAAGTAATTAAATTATTTAATTATAATTAATAATGTCATAATTTGAAATTCTATTCAAAAAATACTCATAGAATTAAATAGTGACTATATTTAATAATATTACTCAAAAGTCAAGAAATGATATTTTCAACGATGAATATAATTTATAATATTAATTATCAAATAAATACATTCATTTTTATGAAAAATAAGTGGAAAGACTCGTTAATAAACTCATAATAAATTAATGTATAAAATATAATCACTAATTAATATACTATAAATGTGTTTGGCAACACTGGCTTATAAATTAGTTAGAAATTTATAAACTAGTTGAAAAATCGTAAGCTATAAGTTGAAAGTTGAAAAACTAAAAATTTATAAACTAATTGATTAGTTGAAGAGTTTGGTAAAATTAATTGATAAATATAAAATGACATAATATAATTTTTATATGAAAGTGAAAGAATGATAAAATAGACAAAATAAATTTTAAATTAAAAATAATAAGAAACAAAATCAAGATAAAATAATGAAAGAGAAAAAGAAAAAGAAAAAAAGAAAAAAGAACTAAGAATTTATAAGTTATAATTAAGTTATTTTCATTAACTTATTAAAATACATAAGCTTAAAAATTAAGCACGTATAAATTTTCATATTAAAGAAATTTATTTTGATCAAATTAATTTATAAACTAGTTAAAGAAACCTATAAATTCTTAAAATGTTTTGTCAAATTCTTTATATATGCATTGATATATTGAAGAAAGTGTTAAAATAATACGTAAAAGGTCTTAAAGTTAATCTTTGTTATGGTAATTTATATTAAAAAATATTCAATATAAAAACTTTGGTTTGAATGTAGATTTTGAGATATATAATAAATAAAAAAAAGAAGGAAATTTTGTGTATCCGTGTAAGAAAAGGACCTTCTCTCCGGCTTCCACTTGCAATTCCATCGGGATAATTAAAGATCGTAAATAGCTTTTCTTCTATGGAAGGTGTTGGATCCTCATCAGTCATCACGCATAGAAAGGTCCTTCAAGTCCTGCCATGCCCCCTATTATGTACTGCATTAGACAAATACAAGCTAATATTTGTTTACAAAGTTCCCTAGTTCTGAAATTTAATTATATTCATATTATTAAAAAGTTCATAAATTTTACTAGTGAAGAGTAAATTTGTATCTTCATTTAAAGTTGAAAAACACCCCAGTTGCAGCCACCCACTGATTTCCGAAAGGGTCATCTTTTATTCCATCGTATAACTGTGGGAAACATTGAACGAAAGCAACTTCTTTTCCAATTTTTGAATCCATCAAAATGCACATCGCGTCTAGAACAATCTTTGGATTGTTCACCACCATGTCACAGTCCACGTTCAACATAAAGGGAGCATTGGTTATCAAACCTGAAACCCTTGTCTGTATATTGAGAAAGAATAGGATGGAGGATGGATTTATGTACTTGATCTCACTAGATGTACTTATTTATTTATATTAAACTCCCTATAAGCCTGAATTTGCTTAACAGAAACTTACAAGCAATACATGTACTTGATCTCACTAGATGCATGAATATTTTGTACTTTTATATTTGTTACCTTGACTATGGTTGGATGATTTCTTTGCTCAGCATTTCTGAAAACCACAAATTCTCCATCAAGTTGAAATGGATTTGTTTTGCGTGTCACCTCTTCAATTTTGTGGCTAAGGTTGTCATACATATCCTGCAAAATACAAAAGACAAAATAATTTTTAGTTATAGTCAGAGTATTTAAAAGTGTGAACATATCTCTTAAATTAGGAGACAATTTCGGATTGGTCTTTCTCAGTAAATGCTGGGCAAGGATGCTTTACTTACCTTCATCCGTAACCATTCTTTTTTGAATTCAAGTGAGTCTTCACTTCTGTTAGTGGTAACATCAGAAAAGTATCTGAAGGGTGCTCTCACTTGTACCTTGTGCTTTTTACAGAAAGGTCTCCAATGCTTAGCGAATTTGGAGGCTTCAACAAGTGCATAAAAAGTAAGAGGTGAACATCCATCATCGGAGACATAGCAAGCTAACTTGTTAGAAGGATAATCAAGTGCTAACAAAGATAAGACAGTGTTAACTGTGATGATGGGTGGTTCAAGTATAGCATCTGCTGTTGTCACAAACAAATCCACTTGTGGAAGCTCATGTATACAGTAGTATTGATACAAACAGAAAAAAAATGTATAATCATATTCCATGCCACTAACAAGGAAAGTGTTGAGATGTCTTGAATTTATATTTTGTGTGTCCATGGTCACATTGTGTGTCGTCTTTTTTCTCTTGATCTCTTTTTTTTAGATATTAAACGGATTGGGCACAACCCTCATAGTTTTGTTTTTGCACATCGCTCAAAAGGCTTCTCTACTAATGGAAACAACTGTGTGTGCATATAAATCCATGTTCATCCTGTTGCGATGTGAGAATTTGCTTGCATCTCAACAGAAATAATGGATTGATGAAATCTTTGATTATTTTGCACCTGGAATGGGCCATTCCGGATGCAAAATTAACACACCAAAAGTGTAAGTAGAACGGTCCGTTCTGGTTTCTGGTTTCAGAACGGGCCATTCTAGTTCCAGGTGTTTTAAAAAAATTGGCATCCACGTGGCATTCACCTATGCATCTACGTGACATCCACGTGGCTACACAGTTAACTCCGTTTAAATAATTTGGACGGAAGTCCCAAATTGAAACCAATTAATTTATTAGGAACCAAATTGAGACCAATTAATTTATTTGGGACCAAATTGAGACCAAAAATAAAAGTGGGACTAAATTGAAACAAACAATTATTATAAGGGACCAAAATAGATTTTTAGCCTTATTATTATTATTTTATAACTATTTTAATTTTATAAAATTTTTTTTTTAAAGCTTTCGAAAAATTTAAGTCACACAAATTTCTAGTTTAATAAAATCTGATATTTTTCCAATTTAAGTCAACAGCGACATGTCCACGATTTGCTAGCTGTTTGAGGGTGACCAGCTGATATGTTATCTTAGATATGTACAATGAAGGGGCATAGGGCCACCAATGAACAATTAAGAAGACAGAGAATGAAACAAATATTTTCTAACATATTTCAATTAATAAAGGCAGGAGCCACCGAAACTGATGTTATCCTCCAAATTAATTTTAGCACCCTCCATTCACTAATCACTAACACAAAATAAGGACAAAATGCAAAGAAAAATTAAAGTCAAGAACTGATAACGTTACTTCTGCAGAAGTGCACAAAGATAAATGCAACCACCGATGACTTGAAAATGGTAGACAAGGAAATTCCGTATTTTCCTCTGCCAAACAACCCTTTCAAATATGGCCAGTAGCACACCACCAGATACGTGCTAAAGATTAATTCCCCTAGTCCACACTCATTTCCACCAGAAGTTCGTTGCAACTCCCAAAACTTGATAAACATTGCTGTCAAATGAACCACCAAAATGGTGGTGCCTACCACATAAACTGGAGACTCATCGAATGTGAACCTTCCAGCATCTGCACTATCTCCATCAGCACCACAAGTTGGGTGTTCCTTCTCTGTTACTTCAAAGACAGTATCAGATAACCCTAATAACTTAAGCATACCACTCAAAAATCCAATAAACCATGCAGTAGTGGTTGTCATTATGGTCATTCTCTGATTGTTCCACCAATGCCGAACTGACAGCCCAATTCTAAGGTACTCTAAAAGAGTATGTACATTGTAAATTACAACAAGCGCAATTGGAATCCAAAGACCAAATCCCTGCAACAAAACCAAAATTAGTTAATCATCCTTTGTATTGTCTAGCACATATATAAACATTGTATATGATCTAACCTTAGGAAAGATATTGGTGTTGGTAATGATGCAATATGAAAGTAGTGTAACATAGCAAACAAGGAAGGCCCCACGCAAGCCCCAGTTGGTAAGCCAAAAATAAGACAAGCCTGCCCTGAATTGGATCTTACCAAAGAGCATACCCATAATTGGAGAATGTTTTCCAAAGAAGACTACAGTGAGGCCCGAGGCCCATCTTTTTTGTTGTATCATTGTAGAGAGTAATCCTCCAGGAGCACATCCCGTGAAGGCGATTGGATCAGGGGTACAACCCTCTGATCTCCAACCTTTTCTTTGAATATTCAACCCGGTTGGTACATCTTCTGCCACTGATCCATACAACCACCCCATCTGAAAAATCATCAAAGTTTATTAACAAAATTGCATTTTTGCAAAAATGGTTAATATATCAGTGTCTGTTGCATACCTGTTTACCCCAGCATGTGCCATATTCATATCCACAATTAGCCACTTGTGTTGCTGCCTCAGTAAAGTTGGAAGGAGTTATATCGTCAACAGAATATGCACTCCCTTCCAAAGCATGAGCTGCTGATTTGACAAACTCCTTTGAACTTCCAAACTGTTGTATTAATATCTTTTCTTCCAATTCTAATTTTCCTGTGGAGGATACAGAATATTAAACATGTTTCGGGTATACTATATAGGAATCCACAACTAAACTATCCTTATATCCAACCACTCACTGAATTATAAATTTATTATTGTTTTTTTTGTTTCTTATTGTGTATTGGAGTAAGAGAAGAACCTTTTCTCTCGCTTTCAATTTCATGAGGATAGAGACCATAAATTGCATTTCTTCTATGGAAGGTGTTTGTTCCCGCATAGAAAGGTCCTTGAAGTCCTGCCGTGCCACGTATTACGTACTGCACAAGACAAAACAAGAAAGTGTTAGTTCACAAAGCTCTTTAATTAGTTCAAAAATATTACTAATGGAAAGTAAACTTAGAACTTCATTTGAAGTAGAAAAAGACCTCAAATGCAGTCACCCACTGATTTCCGAAAGGGTCATCTTTTATTCCATCATAGAATTGTTGGAAACACTGAACGAAAGCAACTTCTTTTCCACATTTAGAATCCATCAAAATGCACATAGCGTGTAGAACAATCTTCGGATTATTCACAACCATGTCACAATCTACGTTCAGCATAAAGGGAGCATTGGTCATCAACCCAGAAACCCTTGTCTGCACATATTAATTAGTTATTATAAAAGATGAGAATGGATTTGCATGTGAGTCATTAATTCAAAACAAATTTGGGGTTAACTTGAAAGAACGAGAGTCAAAATTCATGAACTATATATCAGTTAACAAACTTACCAACACATTCATAGCACCGGCTTTGTAATTAGGATGATATTGTGGCCTCTTCTCTCTGGATATGTAGATTAAGTGAGGCATCCCATCAAAAACACCATCCTTATTCTCTATTATAACCTGCCCGTACGTAATGTAAACAAGTGCTTTCTAATTCATTTTTCAAATTAACGTGCAAGAACCAATATTTTGATAGGAACAAATATATAGAAGTTTCTGTTTGAACCAACAAAATAACAGGTTCGTATAAAAACAATGGAAGAGGGTTTTTTTCCCTTATAATTTCACCGTCTATAAATTTGGAAGCAAGAAATCAATGGGAAAAAAAAGTAAAATAGGTAATGTAAATAGGAAGGAATGGAAGAGTAGAATTGGTGATGTAAATAGATTTATGGAAGAGGAGATGTAGCACTTCTGACGAGTTCTTATGTTAGAAACTAAGGTTGTTAAAATGGTTCTCGGAAATATTTTTACTTATTCATTCTTCTGTTTATTATAAAAAATAATTATGAAGATGTTACTTAATTTTTGTGGAGCAAATAATGAATTTTAATTCTCTAGCAACTTAAATTGGTTATAGTACAGAAAGAGAAGCATGACAAGCATTCTGTAGGTGCAAATATTTGTCATATTTTTTACTGCAATATTTGTCACCTTAATTATGCTCGGATGATTTCTTCGGTCAGTATTTGAGAAAACTGCAAATTCTCCATCAAGTTGGAATGGAATTGTCTTGCGCGTCACCTCTTCAATTTTGTGGCTAAGACTCTCATACATATCCTGCAAAATACAAAAAGACAAAATAATTTTGTAGTTCATAGTCAGAGTAAACATATCACGAGATTTCCTTTGCCCTCGTCTAAGTACCGATCCTTCAATTTGTTTCACGTATTCGTATCCGATACGATACTCTTAGATACTTCACCAATACGTGTCAATGAAGTATCATAGCCTTTAAAAATATTATGAAAATTTTATTCAATTCTAATACACTCACATATTTCACTAATACTTATTGGTGATACGTATCGATAAAGTATTCAAACTTTTGAAAAATTATGAAATATCCATTACAGCTAAATAAGATATGTAAACATGTTTAATATAGAAACATAGAAATATTGATCCTTGATGAACTGTAAATAAAAATTGTCTTCTATATAAATAATTTTAAGAAAGGAATGAAATTGGTAATATTATTTCTATTTGTAAATAATAAAAAGTAATTTATGATGAAATAATTTATAATTTATTTATTTTTAGTAATATACAATAAGTATGTTTTTAGTTTAGATTTGCAAAATAGCAATTATATATTTAATGTTTATGAATTTTGATCAAAATTACAAGTAATATTTATTATATTATATGAACATTGATACATATAATGACACGTATCTTACAAGTATCGTATCCTATATATTTTAAAATAATTGTATTGCCCTATCGACTACGTGTCGTATCGGATATGGTATCGTATCCGTGCATCATAAGCCCTCATATTCATGGTTAATTTGTGAGAAAGGGCAAGGTTGTTGTACTTACCTTCATTAGTAACCATTCTTGCTTGAATTCAAGTGAGTCTTCACTTGTCTCAGTGGCAACCTGAGAGAAGTATCTGAAGGGTGCTCTGACTTGTATGTTGTACTTCTTACAGAATGGTATCCAAAGCTTAGCGAATTTGGAGGCTTCAACAAGTGCATAGAAAGTAAGAGGTGAACATCCATCATCGGAGACATAGCATGCTAGCTTGTTAGAAGGATAATCAAGTGCTAACAAAGACAAGACAGTGTTGACTGTGATGATGGGTGGTTCAAGTATAGCATCCGCTGTTGTCACAAACAAGTCTACTCGCGGAAGCTCAGGTACCCTATTGAGACAAACAAGCAAAAAAAGTAAAAGCAGATGTATAATCATGTGTTATGCCACTTAAAAGCATAAATAAGAATTTAATTAATAGCCTACAACTTTAGGTAGTGGTAGTAGAAGAAGGGATAGAGTACGTTCATAGTCATGGGAATGGGGAATGAAATTATGTACCTTTGCAAGAGCCTTTCTGGGTGGGTTACTGTTAGTGCAGGGCTCCACTTGGCGTTGAGAATCACTATCCAAGTGAAGGTGAACCATGATTCGCATATGAAAGCAAGGAACCATGGGGCAGTGAAGGTGTTGGATGAGAAAAGACGATAACTGAGAAGCAAGAGGAGGAGGAGTAAAATGAAGGCGTCTAACACTCTTTGAAATCTGCGCTTTAGCCAAACTTTTTCATAGAGAGGAAGGTCTTGTTCATGGTTGGCCATTGACAAATTGCAAAAGACTAGAACACTTGTACTTTTATTAATGGTTCCCAAGTAGTGATTATTAAATACTAAATTTGCTGAACTGAAAAGAGCACGGCAAAAAAAAAATATTGTGGTGTTGAGCAGGTGAACCGAATTGGACTCGTTTGTGGACAATTATGACAGCATCTCCGATAGGAACAATTCTTTAAAGTTGCTTTGCATGAATATATGTGTATGATGGTCCCTATTGTATCACATCGGTATTAAACAATTCTATTATGTTTTTACTTAAATAGTGAGTTTTTTCAAGTAATTTTAAGGAATTTAATATTTTATAATTTTTTAATATTAAATTCAATACAATTAAGATGTATTTAGATTAATTTTTTTTAATTATTACATATGAAGTAAAATTTTATTTAATTTAGAAAAAAAAAATTATTTCAACAACTCTTTTTTATTATTTTCTTTCTTTCTTTTTTGGTTTCCTTCTTCTCCCACACCATCACCAAGGGCTCTTTCTTATTTATTTTTTTTGTCTTTCTTTTTTTCGTTTTCTTCTTCTCCCATGCATGTCTTTCTCTTTTTTTTCTTCTTTTTTTTCTTCATCATCTTCTTCTTTCTTCTTCTTCTTTCTTCTCTCTTCTCTCTTCTTCTTTTTCTTCTTTCTTCTTCTTTCTTCTTCTTCCCATGCCTCCACCATTGTCGTGCCTCCGCTACCACCGCATGAAGGAGATCGCGCCTCCGTTGTCGTCGTGCCTCCGCTGCCATTGCACCTTTGCTGTCACCGCACCTCTACGCCGCCCCATCTTTACCTTTGTCGATCTCTTCTCTTCCCTTATCCTCTTCTCTTCTCTTCCCCTTTTCCTCTTTTTTCAGTTAAAAATTAATTATATTTTATTTTAGCAACTGTTGCTTGTACAAGCAACCCAAAAAAAATTTTAAATAGCTCTCATGCCACGTAAGATTCCTCCAATAATAAATTTTTTTGAAGCATATGTTGCTTGGATTAAGCAACTCTTCAAGCAACAACCATTGGAGATGCTCTAAATAGATAAGACAATGTTATAGCCATGAGGCATATAAATTCCATTAAAAAAATGCAAAAACCAACGAAAACACAACATTTATAAATTCTAGCAATAAATTTTTTTAAGAGATAAAAATAAAAAGAAAAAAATAAAAGATAGAGATAAAAATTCTAACAACTTTTGTGGATACATTTTTAAGGACAGTTTTACCATTTATTATTTTATGATAATGACATAATCTTCTTTTTTTTGTTAAAGTTGTCGATTTACACTTGTCTCAATGGATCAGACAAAAAATAAGATTAGGTTGAACTTTAAAAAAGATGACATAAATAAAATCATGTCATTTTGACTGAATCTGCTAAGCCTATTAAATCACGTGAATTTAGGACAAGCTAATCTACAAGTGTATGGGTTAGTCCGTTAAACTAATAAGTAGAATAATTTGAAATATCATCAATTTGTAAATTTATAATGTATTATAAAAAAATATAACAAAAATTAAATATAATAATAGTAATGTTTATCTTTTTTTTTTGTGTTCACTTATAAAGTTGTGGTTATAGATTTAGAGATAGGGTGCCATTATAAGAGTTTTGCCACTCACATTGTGCTTTTAATGACTTAACCATATGACTTGTGTCTTCTTTGTTTTTTTTTTTGTTGAAGAAAAAAAATGCAATCATATTTGTGTGTATGCTTATAAAGTCACGATAACAATAGCAGTATGGGTATTAATGACAAAAATCAATACATAGAAAATACTAAGAAAACATAGCCTAATACATATGAATTATGAAATTATTATGAAAAGGTTAATTTAGTTGATAGGTAGATAAATGTAAATGTAATGAATTGTATACATGTAAAGTTAGGTGTTTCATAAAATATATAATGTCAATTAATCATGTTATAATTTTTATTTTTATTTTTATTATAAATATTTTTTTAAAATATATTTTTTTAAAATAGACCAATTTGACCCGATGGCCTGGCATGAGTCAAGTTGACCCAACCTATTTGACATTTCTAATTTTTGTTAATATATGTGTAAATAAATTATATGAGATTGTGATATATAATTATAATGTTTTTAAGTTAAAATATATTTTTAATCTATGTAAAATGAATGAATTTTAATTTTAATATTTGTAATGTTTTTTTTATTCTTTTAAATTTTGAAATTATTATTTTTAGACCTAAAACATGAACCATTTTTATTTTAATAATTCTAATTAATATATATATAATAGTAAAATTTGAAGTTATTATTTTTAGTCCTTAATATTCTTTTTATAGAAATTAGTGTGATGTATATTTAGAATTTATAATTAATTTTTATTTTTTTTATTTCTTGTCTCGACTAGGAATATAGACAATGTCAACCTTCTTAATATTTCTTCCATGTAAAATTAAAAAGGGTTAAACATATTTTTTTATTTTCATAAATATATAAAAGTTTATTTTAGTTTTCATTTTTTAAAGATACTTTATTTGAGTATTTCTCTCTCACACAAATTTTCTAAATCTAATTAAGAATCACGTCTGATTATAAGAGAAGTCATATATGTATGTTAATTTAAAGGCACAAAAATAATAATATTAACTAAGCATTATTGTTAAATAAGATTGAGGATGTTAGTGATAAAAATAAAAATTGACACATTTTAAAAATAGAAGATCATATAATCGCTTTTTTAAGAATAAGAAAATAAAAACAAAAATGTTTAATCCAATTTAAAAGTACTAGTTGTATCTTTGGTGGGCCAATCTTAGGCTCTTTCGCATTGAGCTTGTTTCATCGTCTGATTGGACTCATTTGTCATTACATTAAAACACTCAAATGAGTCGATGCTTTGGACAACAGAAACGTTATTTTCTTCGAAAATTGAATCATAAAAAATTAATTTAAACTATAAAATATTAAATTTAATAATTATTTTATAATAATATCATTTTAAAATTTCAGAGACTATTTCGGATTTTTTTTGGGAGGATATAACAATCCTCTTATTTTAAATTCATTTTATGATATTGAATTTCAATTTATCACTTATCTCAGTATTCGTTCAGTATTCATATAAAAATTTGTCATGCTGAATAATAGAGTATTTTGTTTTTATTTTACTTTTATTATCAACTACTTAAAAGACAGTACACCCAAAAATTAAACTAGTTAAAAGACAGATCATTCGTTTAGTTGGAATTTTTTAATTAAAAGTAAAATATATTTGTTTTACCGAAAAAGTAAAATATAGTTAATAGATATAAATGACTATCATAATTGAGGGATATGATTTTCAAAATCAGTTGAAATACAAAACTATTCAAAAAAAAGAAACATGTACCCCAAGTATGGGTGTTCCTTTATTATTAATATAAATAATTCATAAAAGTTCAATACTTAAATAAATATTTAATAAAAGTTATAAAGTTTTTTATTTTTCAAAATATTTATCATCCAAGTAAAGAAAAAAAAATCCTCTAAGTTACTATCCAATGTTGAAGGTAAAGTCTCGTCAATAATTTCACCCTAAATAACAATTCAAATACTATCTTTTAGTTAAAAAAGGTTAATATTCTTTTAGTCTACAATTGAATTTTTTTTATACATATATTAAAAAAATAATGAATGTATCACTTTTGATACATTTTTATTAAAATAACGATACATTTTAATAAATGTATTATTTTAATAATAACGGTTGAGTAATTAATGAAAAGATAAATTAAAAAAAAATATGATTTTAGTTCAATAAATTTGTTTTTAATCCATGAAATTATAAATAAAAAAATTATTTTAGTTCTCATACTCAACTTTTTAGAAAAATTATTAAATATTATTGTACAAAATTCACTTATTAATATTTTTATTAGTAAAAACATAATATTAAATCTAGTTGATGTTATATAATTATCTCAATTTTTTATTTTCATGTGTTGTTAATGACTTGAGGAATTAAAATAATATTTTTAAAAATTAAAGAGACTAAAAAAATAATTTTAAAATTTAAAAGATTAAAAACAAATTTAATCTAAATTTGAAAGACTAAAAATATATTTAAATTATTAAAAAATCAATTAATATTATATTAAGAAGTAAGAGTGTCAATTATTTTAAAATAAATCTAAAATATTAAAACTGCACTTAATTTGATATGGAAAGAGTATTATTTTCAGAAAAAATGAATCAAATAAACTAGTTTAATTGAATAATAATTACCGAATATTCACTCTATTATTTTTATGATTTTTATGATTGCATTCTAAAATAAAATGCTAGTGAATTTTTTTTTACTGCATTGATATTTTTTTTAATACTCTCTTGCCAATGTTATCTTTATTGATAGATGAAACTTACAAATTTGGGAAGTCCCCACATTAAATCAAAAGAGACTCATTTAATGAAAGGTGGACCTACAAAATTTATTTTAACTAGAAAAAGAGTGGCAGAACAAAGAAAAAAAAGAAAGAAGTACTAAAGTTTACTAACAATCTTCAAAGATATTGTCGTTGATTCAGTAACAGACAATAAGCACAGAATAAAAAGAAATATAACAACATCTGTTGAAAATTAAATTCATGAACTGATAACATTACTACTACAAAAGTGCAGAAAGACAAATGCAAATACTGCTGACTTGAAAATGGTGGATAGGGGAATCCCGTATTTACCTCTACCAAACAGCCCTTTCAAATATGGCCAGTAACACACCACCACATACGAACTACACATGAATTCCCCTACTCCACACCCATTTCCACTATCAGTTCGTTGCAACTCCCTTAACTTTATAACCATTGCTGTCAAATGAACCAACAAAATGGTAGTTCCTACCACAAAAACGGGGGACTCATCGAATGTGAACCTTCCAGCATCTGCACTGTTTCCATCAGCACCACAAGTTGGGTGTTCCTTCTCTGTTATGTCAAACACAGTATCAGATAACCCTGATAGCTTAAGCATGGCATTCAAGAATCCAATAAACCATGCTGTAGTGGTTGTTATCATGGTCATTCTCTGATTGTTCCACCAATTTCGAATTGACAACCCAATTTTAAGGTACTCTAAAAGAGTATGAACATTGTAAATTACAATAAGAGCAATTGGAATCCAAAGACCAAGTCCCTGCAACAACAACAAATTAGTTAATCATCCTTTGTATTGCCTAGCATATATATAACATTGCCATTAACATTGGATATGATCTAACCTTAGGAAAGATATTGGTGTTGGTAATGGTGCAATATGCAAGTAGTGTAACATAGCAAAGAAGGAAGGGCCCACGCAAGCCCCAGTTGGTAAGCCAAAAATAAGACAAGCCTGCCCTGAATTGGATCTTACCAAAGAGCATACCCATAATTGGAGAATGTTTTCCAAAGAAGACTACAGTGAGGCCCGAGGCCCATCTCTTTTGTTGTACCATTGTAGAGAGTAATCCTCTAGGAGCACACCCAGTAAAGGGAATTGGATGAGGGGTGCAACACTCTGATCTCCATCCTCTTCTTTGAATATTCAATCCGGTTGGTACATCTTCTGAGATTGATCCATACAACCACCCAATCTAAAGTTCTCAAATCCTCAAAGCTAGTTAGCAAAATTTACATTTTGCACAAAAAAAATTGTGATATTAATAAATTTGATTATTTTGTATACCTTTTTACCCCAGAATGTACTATATTCATACCCACATCCAGCAACTTGGATTGCTGCCTCAATAAAACTGGAAGGACTGACATCATTGGGAAACTTAACTTTCCCTAACAAAACATGAGCTGCTGATTTGACTAACTCCTTTGAACTTCCAAATTGTTGTATTAATATCTTTTCTCCTAATTCTCCTGCTAAAGGTACAGCATAGGAATCAACTATTAATAAGCACAACGTATAATATATATGAATCACTAATACTTTAATTTGTTTCACATATTCGTATTCAAAAAATTAATATTCTTGCATGCTTGACCTTTAAAAGAATTATAAAAATTCAATATAATTACATTATACATAGAAATATCTATAATATAGAAGCATAAAAATACTGTCTGATGAATTAAAAATGAAAATTATCTTAATTATGGATAAGTCCAGGAAAGGAATGGAATTGATAGTAATATTCCTATTCGAAGAGAATAAAAAGTAACTTATTATGATAATAATTTATAAAAAAAATTTATTTTTAGTAATGACTAATAAATGTTTCTAATTTACATATTGTATGATTGTATCTGTACATCAGTGTATAGTGAACAAACAAATTTCGTACATGAGAAATGTTAACAATGTAGAGTTTGACACGTTGATAATTATTGATTCAAATTTATTAAAAATTACAAAAATGATGTAATTAATTAAGAAGTGAAATCCAGTCGATTTTTAGTTGAATAATAAGGTATGTTGCTAGAGAAGGCAAGACCTTTTCTCCCATTTTGGATTTCATTAGGATAAAGACCGTAGATAGCATTTCTTCTATGGAAGGTGTTTGTTCCTCCATAGTATGGTCCTTGAAGTCCTGCCATGCCCCGTATTATGTACTGCATCCGACAAAACAAGAAAATGTTTGTTTATATAGCTCTCGTATTTCATAAATTATACTAGCTAGTGAAAAGTAAACTAAGAACTTTATGATCAAAGTTGAAGAAAAACCTCATAGGCAGCCACCCATTGATTTCCAAAAGGATCATCTTTTATTCCATCGTAGAATTGCTGGAAACATTGAACGAAAGCAACTTCTTTTCCACTCTTGGAATCCATCAAAATGCACATTGCATGTAGCACAAACATCGGATTGTTCACAACCATGTCACAATCCACGTTCAGCATAAAGGGAGCATTCGTCATCAACCCAGAAACCCTTGTCTGCACGTATTAATTATTGAAAAAGATGAAATGGATTTGTGACTCATTAATTCAAAATAAATTTTTTTGGTTTAATCATTAACTTGAAAGAATATGAAAATCAAAATTCCATTAACTATTTATTAGTTGACAAACTTACCAACACATTCATAGCTCCAGCTTTGTAATTATGTGGATATTGTGGCCTCTTCTCTCTTGATATATATATCAGGTGAGGTAACCCATCCGAAAGACCATCATTGTTCTCCAATATAACCTGCTCACACGCATTGTAAATAACTCTTTTGAATTGCTTTAATTATCGTTCCTTTTTCAAGCGCACTCCTTTTTCAAGCGCATATGGAAGAAAATACATTAGATATTATATACTTAATGTTAAAAAAATAAGAGGCTAATTTTATTAATATACAAGAGCAAATACAAAAATATTGGTGCCCAACACCTCTAATGATTTTACACTAATACAACACACTCACTTACTTACTCACACACACTCTTCACAATACTATTTATATTTTGGTGACACACACTCAATATATATTTCTCATTTCTCACAAATACACTCACGTCACTCTCACTCACTACTTACTGTGTTTCTTTTCCACTATGCACATAAGCATGATCACTATCCTATATATAGTTTCCTAATGTCGGTTTGGAAGCTCTAGATATTTCTTCACAATTAATGACTCTAGATATTTCTAATTGCTTAAAAATATAGCTTTCTAGTTGTTTCCATTTGTCAGGCGGTGATGAAGGAATAATCTAGAATAATAATTGATATTTTTAACACTCCCCCTCAATTATTATTTTCTCTTATTGCGGACTTGATTGTCATGCCAAGCTGTTTTCTGAAATTTTCAAATTTTGTAGCACTAAGTCCCTTTGTGAGTATATATGCAACTTGGCCTTCGGTATTGATATACTTCATCTCAATGTTTCCTTGCAATACCTTTTCTCGAACAAAATGATAGTGTGATGAGCCTAAATTATACTTGTTTTTATACAAGATTTAATCCCCAGCACATGCAGTCCAGCCAAAAGCCATTATTTCCATCAAAGATCAATAAAAACACTACATTTCTCACATGCAACCACGAAACAAGAATTATTCAAAATTTTCTCAAAACTCCCAAAAAACCCAAAACCATTTATTTCCTCCTCAACCACAATAATCAAACTTCAGCAGCCAAATAAGTTCTTAGAACTCAATTGCATCCAAAAACGACAAAAAAAACCTAGCTTCCCTTACCTTGGTGAAGAATCCGAGTTTCTGGGAAGAGATAATGGAGAAGGAGATGAAAGGGAGCTTGAACAGAAGAGGAAGAAGAAGCTTTGAGAAGAGACCACATAGCTCCGCTAGATTTGCCTAATGTGAATCACCACCTTCAGTCCAAGGAATAAGAAGGAATCAGCCAAGTGAGTGAGAATGAAAGAGTGGGAGGTGAGAGTGAGTAAGTGAGCAGAAGAGGGAAAGGAGGGAAGGAGTTACGGGGCCTCACAGAAACAAATCCTAAACTAGCTAACTTATCAACTCATTGATTTGCTTCCCTATAAATGTCAAAATAGACAAGATGCGTCTGTGAACAAAGAACTAAAAAATGCTTCCATCTACTATAAAGATCCCGGGGGGCTAGACTTACATTAGAAAAAGCTTGCAAAGCAGGCTCTGAATCACTTTTCAACCATAATCAATGTTAACCAACTAATTGAGCATATTCAATAGCAATCATTAGCGTAGTGAGTTCTACCTACATAGTTGTTTTCATGCCAATATATGAGGTAAATCCACAAACAAAAGCACCATTGTTATCCCTAAAAATACTGTCACTAGCCGCATGCCAAGGAGCTCCACAAGCTTTGCCATCAATATCACACTTAATAAAACCAATAACTAGAGGATATCAATTGACTTGCTTAATAACAGGGCCAACATGAGGCTTAAGAGTAGCTATAAAATGCTTCATAATTTGGAATTCTACCATCAAACGAAATGAATAACCTTTGGACAAACTACTAGACAATGCAACCCAAACAACAATCCATTAAATAACTTGATGTAGTGAAATTGTTCAATTCTTAAAGTGCAAGCGATTATGACCATATCATATCACCCAAAAGGTATGAACAATTGTAGAAGCTAGGATATTAGAGAGTTGACTACTCCAAGGCTAATCCTAATTGAGTCGATAAGATTTAATGTTTTGTTGATAAAAATATGGTTAGTATAAGAAATTTTCTATCTAGAGACTAATTTAGGGTGTGAAACATATTGAAATTTAGGATTGGTTTTGACATTGACTAAACTAATAGTTATTAATAAGCGTAGAGACTGATTAATTTTTCTTTAATTGCAAAATGTAAATAAAGACAATATTTTTGTTATTTTTTGGGCTAATTAAAACTTAAGATTGATTTTTTTGTTTCTAATTCATTTGAGTGAATATTTCTCTAACCTCTATGTAATCAGAGACTAAATTTTTGTCTCCAATTATTTAAAAAGATTTTTTGGTCTTAAATTTCTCAGTAATAAACAATAATTAGAGACCTCTTTCAATTGCTAATTGTTCTTACCGAAAATCTGCTGTAGAGCTGATCCGCCGGGTAAGATCGACGAGCCTCTTTCATTGGTACGCTGGTGCTCCAAGATGGGGGTGGTACCTGCAAAAGAGACTCTGATGCTAAAGTTAGTGTTTGTGGGAGTATGAGTCTCGTATAAATAATGCACATACCTTTGTGTGAATTAGGGTTGTCTTGGGCCTTGGGCATGAGATAAGACATGATATGATAAGATATCATATGATATGATATGATATGATATGATGAGATATGATATGATATAATTGGAGGGCGGTTCTGATCTGGGACGAGATCCCCGGGTTCGGGAATGATCTGCCCAAATACCGGGCCCCAAATACCGGGCTGACGTCGCTCAGCGTGTGCCCGGGGTGGCTTTGTATCGCTAATCCGGGCTCGGAGCCCGGGTGCGAAGTACGGTCAGTACA